AAAAAAAAAAAAAAAAAAAAAAAAAGAGTTCTATCCAAAAAGTCTCAGGTCACCTTCTGGAATAAGGCAGAAATCTTTGTGATGACCCTAGTCCCTGGCTCAAGCCCAATGTAAAGTCACTGCATGGGTCCCACCCCTCCTCTATGCTACAAAGTCAAACATACCCCATTCTCGCCCCCAATAAGGTGGACCTCATCCACCACAAAGAGGTTAATGTTCTGGACATTCTTGCGCTGCTTCCACCTCCGGGAAAGGATGTCCCACTTCTCAGGGGTACTGATGATGATGTTGCCTTTGCCCAGAAGCTTCAAGTCTGTGCTAGTCTCCCCCGTCAGCAGCACCACCTTCTTGTTGAGCCTGTCCTGAAACTTCTCATACCAGTCCATGTACACCTGGCAGGCAGGGGAGGGAGACATAAGAACAACAGGTCATGCCTGCATCTCTCAGTTGCTAGGAGGAGAACTGAGAAGCCAGATACCTTACACTACTTTTTCTGTTTTGAGATAGGGGCCCAGGCTGACCTCAAACTTGTGGGTTCAAGTGAACCTATTGCCTCAGCCTCCTAAGCAGCTGGGATGACAATCATGTATCACCATACTCTATTCATAATACTGTATGGTCTACACCAGCTTTTAAGTGACAGGGCAGCTTTTCTTTAAGAAATGATACACAGTTGTCAGATATGTGAACGGCTTCTGGGAAATTCACAGTTCCACAGCACATTACACACCTGCTCTGCCAGAGCCTCCATGGGAGTAATGTAGACACAGCGCCCCTCAGAATTCTGCAGCAGCATCCGCAGGATGGCAAACTCTGCACAGATGGTCTTCCCGCTGCCCGTGGGGGCCCCCACAAACACGTTATCATCACTGTTGTACACGGTGTTAAAAACTGGAAACCAAAAGATGCAAGGGGGGGGGAATGAAACGGATCATTCGTCAAGATTGTGAACACCATGAGACAAAGTCAATCAACTGCAGTACAAAGAGAAGCCTAGAACACTGGCCCATCTAGCTGTCTTCTCACCATACTTTCTCCTGCAAAGCAGGGAAGGAAAAAGTCCAAGATCAGGTTCAGATCTGGAGATTTGTGGCAAGAAAAAAGCAAAAGAAATCCAGCATGGCCAGGCAGTGGTGGCGCACTCCTTTAATCCCAGCACTCGGGAGGCAGAGGCAGGCAGATCTTGTGAGTTCGAGGCCAGCCTGGTCTACATAGTGAGTTCCAGGAAAGGCGCAAAACTACACAGAGAAACCCTGTCTCGAAAAACCAAAAAAAAGAAAAAAAATAAAAGAAAAGAAAGAAATCCAGCATCTTTGCCACTCAAGGACCAGGACGGGGAGACACACACACACACACACACACACACACACACACACACACGGACACACGGACACACGGACACACGGACACACACACACACGGACACAGACACGGACACAGACACGGACACATGGACACACACACAAAGACAGGACACCTTTCTCTGCCCTATCAGCAGTCTCCTATATTCTCTAGAAGTACTCAAATACAGAAGGTGAGCCCAGGCCCTGGGATCAAGACTG